ATGGAAATTTCATTATTTTCTTATTGCAGTAGAATAGAAGTCAAATCGCAATGCATGACTCTAATACCTTGAGGAAAATACAAAATTTTTATGCCCTTGAAAAAGTAGATTTCATTAGATGGTGAAAATAGTACAGTTTAAAGTTCACACTTTATGTCTCAATTTCTTTTTTTATACATGCCTGCTAAATTTAATAATGAGTCAAAAATAATAAAATACCTATTTTCACCCTTACATCAAAATAATTTTATTTAAATCCAATGTATTTCAAAGTTTTGAAAAGTCCTTATGACTTCTCCTTGTAGATCCATGTTAGACAAGATGGTGCTTACTTGCTGACCTTTGAAATTTTTGTCTACATCACTGACACCTTTGAAAAGTTTCCAAGACTCAGAATCCTAAACTAGTCTGTGTTGGAAGGAACCTTACAGATCATCTAGTTCCAACCCTTCTGCTATGAGCAGGGACACCTCCCACTAGACCTGGTTGCTACAAGCCCCATCCAACCTGACCTTGAACACTTCCAGGGGTGGGACAGCCACAATTTCCCTGGGCAACCTGCTCCAGTGTCTCACCACCCTCACAGTGAAGAATTTCTTCCTAATGTCAACCTAAATGCCCCCTTTTTCAGCTCAAAACCATTACCAGTCATCCTATCATTCCATGCCCTGTATCAGTGCACATTAAGAGCCACCTTTTGCCTTTGGTAGATTTCTACCAAACTCCTGAGAGAATATCCTCCTGAGTAGCAGGGTAGGTAAGCACCAGATTAAGTCCCTGGTACTCAAGGGGTAATAAATAAAGAGTATTAAAGAAAAACAGCCATTAAAATGTGTCCTCCTGCCCCAGAAATACTGCAGAGGTTAGAATATGCAAAACAGTCACTGAAAGGTATACATTTTTCAATTTCCAAATACACAAAACACACTGAATGAGAGTAACTATAGAATCATTGGTGATGATATTGAATTGATAATAGTTCAGAAAAATTCAGCTACATCTGGCTGAATTAAATAGAGTAACTAGGTATAATCAAGCTAGTTACTGTGGATATAATGTAAGTGTGGCAACATAACTCCTTATGACCTCCTCAACCCTTCTGCTATGAGCAGGGACACCTCCCACTAGACCTGGTTGCTACAAGCCCCATCCAACCTGACCTTGAACACTTCCAGGGGTGGGACAGCCACAATTTCCCTGGGCAACCTGCTCCAGTGTCTCACCACCCTCACAGTGAAGAATTTCTTCCTAATGTCAACCTAAATGCCCCCTTTTTCAGCTCAAAACCATTACCAGTCATCCTATCATTCCATGCCCTGTATCAGTGCACATTAAGAGCCACCTTTTGCCTTTGGTAGATTTCTACCAAACTCCTGAGAGAATATCCTCCTGAGTAGCAGGGTAGGTAAGCACCAGATTAAGTCCCTGGTACTCAAGGGGTAATAAATAAAGAGTATTAAAGAAAAACAGCCATTAAAATGTGTCCTCCTGCCCCAGAAATACTGCAGAGGTTAGAATATGCAAAACAGTCACTGAAAGGTATACATTTTTCAATTTCCAAATACACAAAACACACTGAATGAGAGTAACTATAGAATCATTGGTGATGATATTGAATTGATAATAGTTCAGAAAAATTCAGCTACATCTGGCTGAATTAAATAGAGTAACTAGGTATAATCAAGCTAGTTACTGTGGATATAATGTAAGTGTGGCAACATAACTCCTTATGACCTCCTTTCAGCTCCCCCACTGAGAACATAGTGGACTGTGAGACTGCAAACAAACCCTACCAGCAAAAAATACTAGATCTTCATTAATTATATTAAAACTGTTGTTACTTTAACCTAGGTATTTTACTGAAGAGAGATGTATCCCTATCACTCAAGTGCAAAATACTTTAAATGGGTTAATTAAATAATCTATAGAAGTTATCTATATATATTATTGTCACAAGGATATTATGACAAAACACAACTCAGTTAACTCCTCATCAACATAAAAATCAATAACTTTTGTTGTTAATTACTGCTATTGTTAGAAATGGACCCAGCCTAGTTTTGCTCATGCCATAATTCACATTATAGCAATTCATTTCTATAGAAAGAATTAATTGAATTCTTTTCATGATTTTTTTACACAGAAAATACAAAAAAAAAACCCCACACGTGACTCCTGTAAAAAGAAGTGGGCATTCTGGCAGTGTTCCCACCACATTCTTACCCCTTAGTATTTTGTCATCCACATAATTTAAGGCACTCTACTTAAGTCTGATTTTGAGCAGAAATACTTCAGGAGTTACCTCATGGAAGAGAAATATTAAAGACCACCGCTCTGTATTAGTACTTTCACAGAAAAAAGAGCAACTTTGGCTTTTATTTTACGTGAAAATGAGCAACATTTTAAGAATGAAACAAACATAGTAGGCCTTGTCTGGTATGGATTCACTGATCTGCTTGTATCAATGACATGGTATATGTGATCTGACTATCAAGAACTAATTAAGGAGCCCTCACAGATTTTCTTGGGAGAGTATAATTCTTTTCATCTTGCATATGGAAAATCATATACGGCTTCTTCACAACAGTAGACAAGTTAGCCTTTAAAGTTGGTCATGGGTCTTAACTGACTCTTCCCTCTTCCTAGATTACAGAGTTCTGATAGGTTATAGCTCCTCTTATTTCCACCTAAGTTCCTTGTGCTAATTCTCAGGCTAACATTACATGTAAGTAAATAGTGGAAGTTGTGTTCAGAGTTTTCATTTAAACAACTAGCAGTATCTTTTCTGCGTGGCAGTAGTTAGGCAATTCCAGATAACAGTGGGGACTTCGCTGTTCCTGAGTTGGGCACTACTGATTTTGGGAACTGTTGGTTTTACACCATCACACCCAGCAGACTTGCAGTGCCATATATAACTGTGCATTCACTCTGTTCAAGTCCGATTTTCAACCTGAGAGGCAATTAATGCAGAATTGCTCTCAAATGGCTTTAAGAAGCTCCATGAATATTCAGGTCTTTCACAACATGGGTCTAGTTTTCTTGCTTTGTATGTGCAACACTGTCATTAACACAGCTGATTTTTCACATTAAAATTAAGAAACTTACCATAAAAATCCTGAAGCAGAAGGCTTTATCAATTTCTTTATTTTTTAAATAATACTAGATGATCTTCAAAGTCCCTTCCAACCCAAACAGTTCTATGATTTATGTCTGTCAACATTTATGCATTTTGATATCAATATTTAAGGACAAGAATCCACTGCTTTCACTTCTTTATAGGTTTGGATTATGAACTTCTTTTTTATATTATTGTTTCTGATTATTTTGGTCAGTTTTCTAAAGGGCTTTACTAGATCCTAGACCAACTGTTTTTTATATTGCAGTTCTCACTGAAATCTTTTTTACACGACAGGTCTATGGACCTCCTAGCTGTGACCAATGCCTCTTTCTAAGTAAACACAAAATCTCTGGTAATTGTACTGGATTTTCTATATCTTCTTATTAAAATTAAGTAGTTTATATTAGTATAGGTTCTGATATATACTTTGAAAAGCATCCAGGAAAGGTCAGCTTTCAATTTTCCATGCTTGATTCATAGTCACTGCTCAGCTAACATCAGAGCCTCTGCTTCTAGTCACAGAGCAAGTAACACCCTTACTCCAGAGTTGCATAGACCAGTTCAGTGGCCATATAGAATGACTTTTGTATTGTAAATATAGCGGTCATTTTCAACAATATTTACAGTGAAAGAACTTCCTCATTACCTGCTCTGAACAAGGAGGTCCAAATGGTTCTGTAGTTTGAAGAAACTGCATCCTGTTTTCAGGGACAGAAAATCAGCATTTCCAGAAAAATCACTGCATACCACATTACACTGTTGGCTTCAGTTGATGTGTGGTTGCTATAAGCAAATGAAAATCATATGGCTTTTCCAGTACTACCCTGCTCAGATGAAAATCATAAAACATATTTAAGAGGAAATTGTAGCAGATTCTTCTTTTTTTTAAGCAAGCAGCAACTCATCCATGTTTTTCCAGCTGAACTGTTAATCATATTGTCTGTTGGCTTGGTTTAGGATGTTCTTTAAAATTTTGCAACATTTTTGCCCCTCTTGTAGATTGCCCATCAGTGACCACTGAGTTGGTCGGGCTATTGTTCTGATATCTTTAACATCTACTTTAGTATCGGGAGAAATTTGGAGCCAGGCATATTACCTGAATAAACAATTTAGAAGTTATTTGTTAGAGCCATATTTATCCTCTATGAAGAAGCTGTGCCCAAAAAACAGTCATCCTGTTATTTTAATGATAGCAGAGAAGGGATCTTTAAAGTCACTAAGTAAGTTGTCGTAACTTCTACAAATCAGTATATTTCTAAGCAGAACACAGAAATGAAAAGATCTGTCTCCCATTATTGGTCCCTTGAGACAACCAGTATAGCAGAAAGTTTGTTCTAAAGAGAAAAATTAATCATATTTATTGCAAACAGAGAAAAATGTTTCTGATATCTGAAAGACAAAGATAATGTGGCCGCTAGGGTTAGTCTTACTATATCCCAAAATGTCAACACATTTGCCAAAAGTGAATTTATCAGCTCAGTGAAGCCAAGAGATTTAGTTTATCTAAATGTCCTACAAGGAATAAATAGTTTACCACTGGTTTTGAAGACTACAATAAATCTAATATTTTATTGACATGTGCAATAGATTTAATGTAATGCTGTGGTTCATATGTCTCTTCTGATAAATTTTAGTAAAATCTATGCTAAGAAGATGGCGCTGCTTCAGTATGGGGCTTAAAATGCGGGGTTAGCAAAGGAAATGTCAATTAAAACAATGTTTGTGCATATTCTTGCAATGCCTTAGCAAAGAATTTTGCTAAAGTTTGTTGGTCAGTTTGTTCTAAATATTAGAAGTTTTGTACTTCTCAGGCTTATTGTCTTTTCTATGGTGAGAAAATCTTCTAATGAAGTTACTAAATAGCTCGTTTTTTACTTTTTAGGCATATTGGAGATAACATCTGTAGAAATTGGAGTTGTGGCAGTTAAGTCTGTTAAGAGCAACTATTATTTAGCCATGAACAAGAAAGGAAAAGTCTACGGCTCTGTAAGTATTTTTTTACCTTCCAGCTGGATTGCAGTAGTCAGCATAGTTCCCTCTCTTATCTACTGAAAACCTCACTTGTTTGCGTATTACTACTAATTAGAGCTGAAATGAGCTGTTCATCAAAATGTCATCCTTTGCTAAACCGGCAGCCCCCTTGTCCACAAGCTTCCTATTGCTTGTTAAGTTCATATTATACTGAAACAGCTCCCTATTTTCTTTATTAATTAGCACAGAAGATTATGGGCAGCACTGAGAGGTACAGATTTATAAATCAGCAAATAGATAAGTTTGTCTGGAGAGAATTTGGGTATCATTTGAAATTTTTCCATAAATACTCCATTTGTATTTGTGAAAGTTTGGGATCACTGATGTTTTCATGAAGGGGGGAGGAAAAAAGCAAAACAAACAAACAAAAAAAAACACAACAAACAAATAAAATAAAACCCATACACAACCAACTAAAAAAACCCCAGTAACTAGCCAGACATTTTAATAAGAAGCAATATGATCTATAAATCTCACTACTAAACACAAGTTTACCCTCACACATCCACATGACTACACAAATTAGCAAATTATTCTGGTTTTAAACCTGTTTTTTTTTTTTTAATTTTTTAACTATTTTGCCAATACCAGTCAGTTTGAGCCCATATAAAAGTAAACTGTTTCAAGTCGTCTGCAAAGGTGATGAGCCAACCTTCAAATTATTCATTGTGCAGAATATCAGTAGGCTAGAAAGAGGGCAGGTTACAGGTAAGTACTGGGACTGGGTTCATCCTTGGGAAATGTAGCTAAAACTCCTACCTCTGCTGAGATTAAAGAGGTAATGCCAGTCTCAACTGAGACTCAAGGGGCTAGAAGTAATTTTGCCCTCTTTTTTTAAGGAAGCATTTCTAAGTAGTGGCTTTAGTTCATACAAACTAGATAAACTGTCCTCTCTCATCTGCACTGTGGCTAGTCACTCTCAGTTCAAAAAGTTACGTCTGACTTTTTAAACTCCTGGGCAGTGTTGGAGAATCTCAGTGAGGAAATAAGAGACCAGATAAATGTTTCTTAAACTCCTGTAAATACAGATTTTAATTTCTAGAAATACAGTGGTCAGAAATGCAGAGTAAGCTGTGCTAAATCCTGCCACACTGAGAGGTGAAAGGCTATACTGAGTGACCAACAAAGTTGTCACTTGTAATTTAAACTACACACATTGATCATGGGTATGCTTCTGTATATATGTGAAGATGTTAGCTGAAATTTTCATCTTCAGTTCACATATCTCAGTTTACAGTGTTTAGCTAAGGCATTTTTGATGGTACATCCCAAAGCCTGAGATAAGATTTGCTGCCCAAGTTGTTAGCCATGGTTCATGTGGTCAGAGTCCATCCAAATCCAGATACACACGAAAAAAAAGTCAAAGCAGCTTTCATGTACCATAGGTGGAAACTGCTGCCATAAGATTTCAGTAATTCATGGTGTATTAGAAATAGTGTTGACAGGAGGCTACGAATGTGAAAAGCCTTTTTTTTCATTCCAGCTGAGATAATGTTTCAATATTCACATCATAAAATCACAACATAATGACATATCAAAACCTATTCCATAATACTTCAGAGATTTCAAGAATGCTTCTGTTATTATTTTTTCCATCCTCCAAAGACATGCAGTTTCATATTACTATTACTACAGCATGGCAGCTTGCAGATGGATATGAAAAACAAAACCAATAAAAATTGTAAAAACACTCTTAAGCATGTGCACAATGGACATTGATGCAGGGTTATGCTGAAATTTGTTTGAAATGAGCTAAGTAGTCTTGGGATAACACTCAGACCTCTGCAAATATGACTACTTAACTGCATCACAACATTATCTGTTCTCCCTGTATTATCTAAAAATAGAGATAAAAGTTTGGATTCAAGTACAATTCTGTATTTGGGAAAACAAGTAAGACTGTTCTCTGTCAAATACATTTCCATTTGACTGAGTTTGGCCAGAATGAGAGAGCAAAAGAAGACTCACTATTTGGTTTCTTTACCAAAATAAGTTGCTGGCAAATAGGAGAACTTACTGCCACTTAAAAATGTGATTGGTGGTCACCTACCTTCTTAATACTTTGATGTCAGAGGTGGTATGTTATGGCAAAAAAATATATTAAATTATCTATATGTAGCTTTCTGAATACGGGCAGTATCATCATTTTGTAGAGAGTCGTCTCGATAATGTCTTCCCCAACAGTCATTGTTCAACTAACTGTTAATGCCAAAGTCAAAGAGAATTCTGGGAGTCAAACTCTGAATATGCACAAATCTATGCATAAATCAGATAGGAATGGGAAATATATATTTTTAATATTCTTATGTTCTTTTTGTTAATGTGGATACTTTCCATATATTTCCTAGCTGTATATAAGGATTCTGGTCATAGTAAAACATCCAGGAAATTCTTATCTGTATCATGGAAGCTGTTTTATTATTCAGACATATTTCTTGTCTTGTTCATAGATACATGAAATCTTCTTAAACATTTTAGAAACTATTTACCTTCAGTATGCTGAAAATCTGAAAGATTATAGTTATTCTGAATTTGTGCATTTGTTTTCTTCTTTTAACAGAAGGAATTTAACAGTGATTGCAAACTGAAGGAGAGAATAGAAGAAAATGGGTACAACACATATGCATCCTTAAATTGGAAGCACAATGGAAGGCAAATGTTTGTGGCCCTGAATGGAAGGGGAGCCACAAAGAGAGGACAGAAAACAAGAAGGAAAAACACTTCAGCTCACTTTCTTCCAATGGTTGTAATGGCATAGATGAAGGAAATATTTTATTGATGCAGTTGAAACACAGGCTGTTATGTCAAGAATATTCGGTATTCCTCTTGAAGAGTAAAGGCAAGGAAATAGTGCAGACATCTGCTTGTTTGAAAAGAGAGCAGGGGAAGTCTTTGAAGGTTTTGTACTCATTGCTGGCACATGAAATACTTTTATTTAGTTCGTTGTCATATCTTAAAATCAAGATAGAAGCTGGATCAAATGGGATTGAAGTTATTGCCAGTGTGAACAATTTGATTTTATTTTTTTTTCTCTGCAATGGAACTTAAGGGACATGAGACAATCTGTTTAATTATCTTCGTGGGGAAAGTTATTTATGGAATACTAACTCATATCAAAGACCTTAATTACTCATTCAAGCCTAATGATCCAATGAACAGTTAGACACACAAGCATTTACTGGAAGCACTTGGGTCATATGCACAAATAATGACATTTCTGGAGAAGCCTTGGGGAATAATTAATAGGATTAAGGAATATAAGCAAAGTAGTGTAAAACTGTTCTAACACAAAACTTAGAATGGTTTACTTGTATGTTCTAACTTCATTTCTTTTTATTTCTCTCTAAGTTATTTATTTAATAGGATGTTAAATATCTTTTTGATTTGAAATGTTTTCCTCATGTGCTTCTGTGTTATTTTCTTTTTTCCTCAGTACTTCACACAGAGGTTGATAGGTAAAAATGTCAAAACCTCAGAAGTACTCTGAGAATAGGTATTAGATAAGGTTTTAAAGGCAGAATTTAATGTGTGTAATCCATTCTTTTCCTAAACTGTCTTGCACTTAAGCAAAAAGACCAAACAAGCAGTGATTGGATTTATGGTATTGGGTGTCTTTACATCGGAGAATTTTTTTTACTTATCAACACTCAAGAATAAATGTCAAGAAATGCTTTGTTCAGGTGGTCTTTCTGCTATTTTGAAAATGAGAAAAGAGGCCACTTCTGTACTTGGGGGTCAACATATTTGTATGTGTATTTATCTGACTTGATTTCCATTTCAAACTTAAATCTAACATATTGCAATCAGGGCAATAACCTTCAGCAGGCTTTGGGTTGGAACCTAGATGTGGGCAGCCCTGTTAAAGTCACCGAGATTGCAAATGTCAAAATTAAACAGTAATTCCCAAGTGTACGATTTGGCCTCTTAAAGCTAAGAAGACAATACAATTCTGCACTCCTTATTCAGTTAATATGCCCATTCAGCACATTTATCCTTGTTAACAGCTTGTAGAATCATGGGCATACTGTAGGAGTGCTATCTAAGCTAGGACTGAGGAACAGGGGATACAAATTCATGCTCGTGTATTTATCAGAGATTATTACTCACTTGTATATAATATATGAGAGCCAATGAAAAAACTGTGCTGGAACTCAGCTTTAGCATGCCTTTCATATTCATCATAGTAACTGAAGGCTCAAAATAAGTAATATCCAGCACATTTTTATGAAGTGTTACTAGTCCCATGGCTTAACTTGAGCAACTGCAGTATAACAAAGTTAAGCATAATATGAAGTCTGTTCAATTAAAGGTACATAAGGTTTGTTTTATGTTTTGCTTTACTCTGTAATTTTAGAGAGCTCTGGATAGCTCACCAATGTAACCATATTGAGATTCATTTTGTTAGAGCAGATAAATAGAAAACAGTACATCAATTTGTACCACTGTCTTCACATTGTATTCCACTAAATAAATAAATAAGCCTTTGCAGTGTCTTTAGTAAGAAACAAAAGTAGTATAATATTATTTTGTTCTAAATACTTTAAGTAATAACTATGAGATTATATTGATGCTGCAGTTTTATCTTCAATATGTCTTGTTGTGAAAAAGTTGGTTTTATTTTTATTGTTTGGAAACTGTATTTTGGTACAAAGGGGAGCCTTACTTAATGTGTCTTTTTGAGAATGTTTAACCTCTACAAAGGCTGGTGTTGTGGGAATCTTCTATAACTTATTTAAGTCAATGTTTAACCAGCACTTCAATCTTAATCTGTTATTTAAATATTAGCTGTTTTTTTTAAGAAAATAAAAAAAAAAACCAACAGCTTTCCCATAAAATACAAAATGGTCAGACTGTATTTACTGTCCTTAAATAAAATCAACTGTTTTAAAACCAGAAATTAATTGAGAGACATTTCAGATGAGAGCTGACATTGTATTTCATGGTACTTTTCTCCAGCTTTCTTTTTCACAAATGAGATTTTTCTAGAAAGGGAATAAGAATTTCAGATTTTAAATGTGATTGCAGGATGCAGCAAAACATAGCTACCATCGTAAAAGCAAGTTTCTGCTGTTTAAAATTTGTAATAGATAATTAAAACTGACAAAACATAATGGACCACTCACAGTGAATATTCAATGTGAGTAGGGTGAATGCAGTATTGATGATCCCTTAGAGAACATTTAGGGTACAAATGAAATTCTCTTTTGACAGAATTATTTAGATGACTTGGTCAGGAGAGGGATTAGGCATAAATATTATCACAGAACTCAAAACACCATGCTGCTCAGAGGCCAAAATGGGGAAATATCACTTTTCTGAAGTGAGTCAGGAGCCATTTGTGACAGGAATATTGGTTTCTGAAAATTAACCAAAATAAAAAACCTTGAAGGAATCAGTGATTCTTGTGTGTTTGGTATATACTGTAATTATAACTGTAGAGAGCAAACTGCAGACACTCTATCTAGAGTATCACAGATCCTCAACCATAAGCTCCGTTTTCTGTCACCCTCAGTATAACAAACTGCTGCGCAAGAGGGAAACGGGGGAGGGATTTAAAAAAAGAAAAGACAAAAAAAAAAAAATCACTGAGCAACAATGTATAGTATGCTATATTTAAATAAAAATAATAAAATGTGAAGAATATGAGAGAATAAGAGTATTGTTCTTTTTTTGTTTTATTAACCTGAAATGACACTGAAAAATAAAATAAAAAAGGGAGAACATCCATTGTACTACAGGATGTGGTTTGGTACTGTATAGCCCCAAAACAAAAGAAAAATCCCTTAAAATTATTTAAGTTTCTTTGATGTTTTGCATGTGTGAGTCAGCTAACTCCACACTAATAACAACCAAATGCCTTAGAGTCTTCATGTAAGTATTCAAGTTCACCTAGTTTATACAGTGGAAAAAGCAATGAATTTAGAATAAGCATATTTGATGAAAGAATGAAAGGATTTAGGAGGAAGAACGTGTGCTCATATTTTTACAGTTAAATTTAGATACAGAAAACTTTATTACTTCATTCAAGACATTTCAGATTATTAAATTCACCAAAGTTTAATAAGTTTTAGTAATACAAGAATACTAGTATATGAGCACAACTTCATGATTTGTGTCCCTGATGAAATTGATTGTCTCTACTCACACACTCAGTTGTAACTATTTTAAGGAGTGATCTTGAAACTAATGCATGAAGATAACCTCTCTTTTGTAGTATCCTCCTAATTTCCAACTAAATTGGAGAATGAAAAGTGCAGCACAGCACAAACATACTTTCTGCTGCAGCTAGTCAATGTGTGATTACTGATGCTACTTATCAGAAACAGCACATTGACTGAAACAAGTTCAGTGAAATTGCAAATAAAAAATGCATTATAAGCAATAGATAAAATATGAGAAATTAATTTGGTTTGGGCCTATCAGATTCTGCTTTATAGTTACGCACCTACCAGCTCAAATACTTAACCCTCATGTTTAACTCTATTGAAGCTTTCTCAGAGTAAGTTTTGGGATTTTTCTAATAAAGCATGGTGAATCTCAGATACCTGACTGATGTGTCACTAATCCCAAACAACAAATACAGCATGTACTTTGCCCAACACAACAATGAAAATATGCTCCTGTGAAAGGCAAAACTAAAGAACCATGACTAAGCCTCAAGTAACTGATATGGGAACACTGATGTCTAAGTCAATGCAGTACAAATGAGGAGAATTTGCAGTCCTGAAGTTCCTCGCTATGACCTTCAGTGATGCTTTTGTATATTATTTCACTAATACAAGATATTAACTAATCAGACCATTGTCCAAATGTGAGACTATGAGAATGAAAATATCTGAAAAACCCACAGAAAGTACCCAACTGTATAGTTCTGTGCAAAATATTTATGACTCTGATAGTATACAGATAATGTACCATGGTGAGAAAAACAGAATATATATTTACATCAAACCTCAGACTCTATCTTGCAATAATGTAGTAAATGAAGAATAAAGATATTACAGGTTCTTTATTACTACTGAAATGTAAAGCGTGCATATTTTTGGTGTAGCCATTCATCCAAGGTTCAGATGTACTATTTCACCATTCAAACTCTTCTGTAGTTTGGTTTACATTATGTTACAGATTTTTTTTATTATGAAACATTTTTACTAACTTCTCAATGAACTTTTAATCCTTTAATTTCCTAGCAGTCTTCACAGAAGTCTCATAAAAGGCCAAGCATTGGTCTACACCTGACTCTGCACCTTTTTCCTAGCTATAAATAGCTGGAAAAAAAACATATTGCATTTAATGTTGTACGTGTAGGAACTTGCTTTATTCAGTGATGTGTGTCTGAGTGGGACGAAAAATTAATATCCAGTCCCTTATTTTCATGATGCCCAGCTAATTTGTATACTTTCTTGAATTAGAAATACTCTTAAAGTCTCAATTCCCCTTTTTCCAAAATGTGCATCACAAAATCATTTAAGTACCTTAGCTTTCTCTTATATATCTTCTTTTTCTTTTTTTTAACAATCTCCAACAACACTTCAGAAAGGCAACTGCTTAATCAGTACCCTGTACATACAATTCAACATTCTTTACAAATTGTACAGAAATAATCCTTTCAGGACAACCAAAATGCTTTGAGCTTGGTCTTCTAGTATTCATCTCTGCAGGCTTCAAATACAATGAACTACTTGAAAAAATCTATTTTATTAATAATCAATTTTAGAAAGACTAGTCCAGGAATGGCAGAGTCTTGGAGAATAACACAATAAATACCTTCTAGATGTTAGTACCAGTAGGCTGGGACCTTTCAGACAATATTGCTAACAAATCACAAT